ATGGAGCCATGAAGCAGAAGGTTGGTCAAATTACACACTTTTAAAAGATGTAGCATGTTATGGCAATATTTATTTAACAAAGACAGAAATACGTGGTCCAAGAAAGAAGGTACTCCGTGAGATGATCAGCTGAGTTTTATTGCAACAACAGGAAACACAGAGAACAACCTGCCATGTCTCTGCGCCTCTGCTTCTCTCTGTCACTGTCTCCCCACTGTGTCACTCACTCGAGAGGCCTCATATATACAGTATATTAACAGACACCGTTATGTAATCTTAGCAAGATTTGATACAAGGTCAAGGGAAAACACAAAGATAAACACAAGTGATATCTAAGAATGACTGTTGTTAGCAAATCTTGTTCTGACTTTAATCATTCAATCTGCAGATGAACAGCATGTCATGAAAACCTAGGTCATTAAAGGATGTCACGAATTACTGGCTTAAACCTAAAAGTATTAGTTCCACCACATAGCAATAAAGTGATTCTTGTACTGTACATAATTTATTTCTGATTTAAGTACATTATGTATACATGTATTATTAGGTACATGTTTGGTCATGGTCAACATGTGAATTTAAATTTATGTAGGTTATAAGTGGACTGAAAAATGGATTGTTTTTGTTACGCAAATTAGCTTCATGCTGCATTTTTGTGTTTATACCACTTGGACAAATGCCCCAAAGTGGTGCACCTCATGCAAATATCAAGGTCAGTGTTTTTCTGTTGATATTTTCATGTTTTCTCAAGTAAATATGTCCTTAGTTGAATCATCTATTGTCTTTTACCTGTTTTCTCCTTTTCAAGGCAGAAGAGAACTGGTGCTCATCTCTGCTCATACATATACAGACTGTATATCTTACAGTTTTACATGATTGTTCAATAAAATTAATATAGTTAACAGTTATATTAATTGATTGTAAAAAAATTACAGATAATTTGTGGCGCAGATGCAGCTGGGCTTGTTAATAAAACAGTTGTTGTGTCAGCTGTGAGCCAACGCCCTTTGTGGTCGCCATTTTTGCTCCTCTATGTTGTCACAGATGATGGCGATGGACACGGCTCACGCTAGTGTTAGTTCACTCTACAGGGTGTATCAGAAAAAATTATACTCTCAGAAAAATCGCCATAAAATTAACACAGATAATAATTTTGAAAATGTGGACGTAACCTTTGGTAGAGAGGATCATTCTGCTTCGAACGACACCAAAATCTTAGTTAACGCTTCACGCTCCAGTGAGCAGGAACAGTTGGAAATTCACAAAATTCATGTCCTTTGTGCAAGGAAATGTGAGGGTTAAAATACGATCTGTCATATAAAATGAAAAGTTTAGATGGTGTTTAACACGCATGCCAACTTTTAAAAATAATTAACCCTTTCATGTTCTAACGTCGAAACAAAAATATCTCATTTTTGAGTGGATCATAACCAAGGGTTAACAAACACATGTGAAATGGCCGTGGACAAGTCAATCCAAGGTGATGTTTGTGATCATGTTGTTTTAATGAAAGAAATTGACCACACGATCACATGATCTTGTACCAGGTTATGGAATAATTACGTGTAATAACTACTGAATACATGTACATTTACATATTACATGTAATGTTAGTTGGCAGGACTGACTTGTCCACATGTTTGTTATCCCTTGGTTATGATCCACTCAAAAATGAGATATTTTTGTTTCAACATTAGGACATGAATGGGTTAATTATTTTAAAAATGCCTTGGCATGCGTGTAAAAGACCATCTAAACTTTTAATTTTATGTGACAGGTCGTATTTTAACCCTCACATTTCCTTGCACAAAGGACATGAATTTTGTGAATTTCCAACTGTCCCTGCTCACTGGAGCGTGAAGCGTTAACTAAGATTTTAGTGTCATTCGAAGCAGAATAATCCCCTCTACCAAAGGTTACGCCCACATTTTCAAAATTTTTATCTATGTTAATTAAATGGCAATTTTTCTGAGAGCATCACTTTTTCTGATACACCCTGTAGACCATCACTGTAAAAAAAATCTCACAGAAGGCTTAAGACAACATCTCACTCAAGTGATAAATGATTCAGGATGCAGAGTCACTGAGTTCAGGCTTGGCAGAGCTGGAAGGCCTTTAGAGAACAGTGCCATAGCTCTGCATCCTCCTCTACAGGACACTGGCACCTCAAGAACTGGTCTTCTTCCTTTAAATATGACTATTTGTAATATATCCATTCTAACAGCTATAATTTATACAAACACCTTATTTAAAAATTTGCTTAGATTCACACGTTTTTCAATGTGATCGCATCTTTTTAAATTTCTGAGATCCTGAAATCTAAATGTGTGTGAGTCAGCTCAACCATCCGCACAGAGAAGACGTGAAGGACAAAGAAAAGGAGAGATGAGACAGTTAAAATGTGTTTGAGAGACGCAGCGATAAAGGAGTGGCCGGTCTGTGTAAAGAGCGAGGTCACAAACACGGCTGCATTGTGTTTCATGAAACCTGAGCAGCCAGTGCCTCTTACCACCAGCCAGGGAGCTGCTGTGCACCGCAATTTATTGCTCCTCAGCCGCCTCACAACACCTTCCAAAACGTCCCCATTCATACATGAAAACAGATCTGACGTTCACTGCAGGCAGTTACCACGAGAAGCAGCTGAAGAGGTTATATTTATTACTAAACAATGATCTTTAAACGGAGCACCTTTTGGTCTAAAACGAACGGTCGTAAAAAAGAACATGTATTGATCTGGAAATAAATCTCGTACGCTCACTGATCCATTATGGTCTTGTAGTGTGCAGACCACTCGTACATGAGGACAGTGACATAAATTGTCCTTGTCTTCTCATCTCAGAATGCCCAATAAGAGCTCAAACACCTCTCGTGGTGCCGCAGCTCATCAGCTCTGATCAGCTCTTCACAGGCCTTTCACTGTTTGTAGCTGGGCTTTATTATTCACCAAATGTGCTCTAATTTGCTACAAACACTCAGAAAAATATTGCCTGATAGTTCTTCCAGCAGAATAGCGTGCTGATAACAGTATAAATTAAAATAGTTACAGCAAAAACCTTATCAACTCACAGAACACTTACCACTAAACTGACTTTTCTTTTCTTGTTGGATTGTTGTTTTACTTTGTTTTGGTTTATTAATTTGATCATTTATGCTTGTTTGTGTTTTTCTCATGTCTAAAAAAATCATTTTTTATGAGTCATGGATTTCATATATGCAGTTTGTTAGCACTTTTCTCAGATTAAAATCACTCATGCATCACAATAAAATACCAAAAAATAACTATTTTTGTTTGAGGTGCCATGTGTAAAATAAAATGTAAAAAAATATCACTAATACATTTTTATTATTTAGCTAATTTTCTGAGTGTAAAATCCTAGTTAATTGTTTTCTACTAACATTTTATTATGAAGCTCGTTGCTCTTACATTTAGATAATTTTTTCTCAACTAATGTTAAATCTAAACATTAAATATTACATATACTAAATCGTAAATCTGAATGTGTAAATCTAAATGTAAAAGTTAAATCACAAATGTTGTGACTGAACGTTGAAGTTTATATTTAAATATTTCAGAATGGAACACAGGCTGTGTCCAAACTCAGGGGCTGCATCCTTTGAAGGCTGAATTTGTCGTCACTTAGCTGTCCAAATTCAAAGACCCCTTCGATGTGGCTCACAAATGGGTCCTCCTTTTACCCCTGATTACAGCAGCAAGTCTGGCGGATCCTTCTCATCCCCTCCTATCCCAAGATGCACTGCGGGTCAACAGGGAGATATTTTCCACTCTTAATGGTAGACGAAGTGAGAGACAGAAGTTTTAAATAGAAATATGGCGGTATAAAAATTTTAAAAAGTTTCAAGTGGTTGTTTTAAGCTTTTGCCATTTGCATAGACATGTTTTTAATATTAGAAGTAAAAGTGCACTGCGGCAGGTCCCTTAGTTCTTTAAAGTGCCTGTGACGCATATTCTTCAAATACAAAAAGTCAAAGAAAACATCTTTATATTTAATAAAATTGGAATAATACACACGGTTTAACCCATTTTGCCCCATAACTGGCATATTTTCTTTTGAACCTGGGTCAGCCAAAGTGAAACAGGAAGTGACATCAAAGGAGATCACTTTAACAAAGAAAACTCTCTGATCTTTGTGTATTGAAATAATATTATTTGAACTCTGACTCTTCTTCATCTCTCTGATAGAGACTCAAAATAATCTTAAGAAACATCAGATTCTATACAGTCTGGGTTGTTGGCTGACCTCACTAGCTAAAATTAATCATGAACCCTGGTCCCTAATATTGACCACAGATTCCAACTCAATGACCCCTGTATTTTGCATCCCGGTGCGAACCTGGAAATGCCTGGTGCCTCAATAACTGACATGAAGGTTTTACTCGACGCGTCAAAATAAGACTCAGAGGGAACCTGACCAAGCATCAATATGTGATGACTTGGGAGTGAGAATGGGTTACACTGGCATCCACCTGGCCAGACAGCTTTTCTTAATTTCCTCTACAAACATTTTTTAAATTATATTAAAATTTCACAGTCCCCATTAATAAGGATAACCAGTGTATGCATCCTCAATATTTTTTTTAATTAATTCATTTAGGAGAGGAAAAGCGTCTAAACATTAACCAATGTCATTGCTTTTTTTTCAATATATAATATCAGCTGTAAAAAAAAAAAAAAAGCTTTAGCAGACCTAATATCAGAAGGTCAGGAAATGTTCTGAGTTATGGTGCCACCTGGATTTCCAGGCCCCGCCCATTATAAACATTTTCTGATTTGAGGTTATCTGTCTACAACAGGTAAGATACTGATTCTTCATAACGTTTTCCCGGTATCGCCACATCAAAATAGCTGAAACATCCCTTTAATCCTCCCCCGCTCCTCCTCCNCTCTCTCTCTCTCTCTCTCTCTCTCTCTCTCTCTCTCTCTCTCTCTCTCGCCTGCATCGAACGCCGCCGCCTCCTCCCTCGGCGGTGACGTCACCGGCTCGGTGGAGCTCGAGCATCCTTGTCAAAGACGCGGCGAGAGACAACAGAGCCATTTTGGCCGCTTCGCTTCGAGTCCACCCTTTTCCCCTCCCGAGTCCTCGACACCGGACCAGCCTCGGGCGGAGGAGGGTGGCGGGTGTTCAGGTGAGGTCCGCCGGGCAGACAACCTCCTCTCAGCCCATCCCGGCGTTCATGGAGAGGAGAGGCGGGTGACGCACGGACGGGCAGCGAGTGTCGGACCTGGAGGAGGTGGACGTGTTGGGATAAGAAACCCCGCAAAAACACGTCTGTAGACGGGAGCAGAGGTACGATAACCCTCTTTTTTCCCCTCTTATTTCTCTTTGTCCAGCTGCTAATGCAGTGTCAATGACAGTCTGTATTAACTTGGTGTTGAATCTCCTGGGAGAGGATGTTCAGGGCGCGGCCAGCAGGAAGAGTCAGGGTCGGAAACAGCAGCTTTTATCGGCATAAAGACATGAAACTAAACACAGGTCATGAACTACACGTTCATTAATGCTAAAATAAACACAAATACGCTGCATTTGAATTAACACACATATGACAGACATTAAATGCAGTGTCATTGGTCGAGAAGGTATAAAAAGGGGCCTACAAGTCCATTTAAAATGGTATTTAGATGTTGAAAATGACGCAATACATACAGCCAGAAACTACTTTTAGTGACTTATAAACATTTAAATAATATTTTTAAAATTTCTGAAAGCCTGAAAATAAAATGGCCACGTAACAATAAATTAACAAGCATCACCTCTTTATGAGTCTAAACTTGGAAATATTGAATGTATTTGTCATTTTTAAGTAGCCTATAAATATTTGTCACTAAAACCGTATCCGCCCAGCTGAGCTGCAGCATCAGCTGATTGGTCTGAGCTTCATCAACAGATTACAGCCACACTTTTATATATTAATATTTTAAAGGGTGACAATCAGATTAGGCATTACGCAACCATATTTATTTAACATTTCAATGTGCGACACTGCAGATTGACATGTCACATGTGTTCATTTAAAATGTAAAGTTCTCAGCACTTCGATCAAATCAAGAAAAATGTTTATTTTCTGTTAAAATACGGTAATGCTGAATGACAGCTGAAAATTACTACAGAAGTGGAAACTGAGCCATTAAAGCTAAAAAAGGCAGAACTAAATGATGGAAATGATAGAAAATGTTTAAAAAAAAGCCAAATAAAACCCTAAAAGTAGCACAAATGTAGCTAAAGGCTGAATGTAGGAGAAGGATAGCTCCAATCTAAAAGTAGAACAACCGTAGCTATAAGCAAAGGCTAAAAAAGGGCTAGCAAAAAGCTGAACATAGCACAATTATAGCTAAAAGTAGAACAAAAAGGCTCAAATAGATTAAATAAGCTGAAGTAGATTTCAAAGAGAACAATGTTTTTGAAATAATTAAAAAGAAAAATATTTTATGGGTAAAATGAAAGTAAAATTACGTATTTTGCCATGTATAAAAGTTGCAAAAAGAAACAGATAGAGAGAGAGAGAGAGAGAGAGAGAGAGAGAGAGAGAGAGAGAGAGAGAGAGAGAGAGATAATTAATCCCAGAGAAAGTGAGAGACATCAGTAACATTTGCTCACTACACAAGGTCATTAAAAGGTTCATAAAAAGAAATAAAAAAAAGTAGAATCAAAAGATTTGAAAATTAAAAAGTACAAGTACAAAGAAATTAAAAGACAAAAGGACAAATTTATATATGTGCAAAGGTTGAAGGTTTTAATTGATCAGTGGCTTTATTTAATAACACAAAATATGCTGAAGGACTTAAATGTAACAAAGTAAAATAGGCAGGTAGTAGTATAAATAAATACTGACTCAGCGTTCTCACATTGGTCAGTGTTTTAAATTTTACAGCTTTTTCTTTTTAATACATCCTGCAGTAAAAGAACAAAAAGGTCACAGCTTTAAAACCAAATGAAGAAATGCCAACTACAAAAATCTCATAATCGTATCTGTTTGGTGACAACAGCAGGACGACGCGGCAAAGTTGACGGTTCAATGACGACGATTATCATGGGATAAAAAATAAAAGAAATTCAAAATAAGCCTCACAAAGTCTTAAACCTCAGCCATTAATTCAGTGACTGAAATGAATCTGATCTACTGTAATATCTAATCAATAGACCTGACAGCAAAACCCCAGCTCACTGTTGGCTTCATTGATGAAAACATTGATTGTCTATGACTTAACGATGAGTCACGATGACACTGCACAACTCCTATAATGATCACATATTTACTCACTTGGTGTTATTTTTAACTATTTTAGAAGAGTTATTTTTGAGACGAGGCTGAACAACAAAAGAGCCTCAGACTTGTGGCCAGTTTCAGCCCCAAAGTCATCTAGAGAAACATCCTGACATTTAGCTGCTGCTGCACTTCTTTTGTTACCGCCAGCTTTATTATTCTCCTCCCTCCCATCGCTGACCATGCATGACCCTTTTTTTGAAAGTCCCGGCCCTACAGCCCTGCCCTACTCAGTTATAAGCTGAAAGGTGTTACATTACCTCTTTATTGTTGCAGTAAGGTGGGTGATAATGTTTTTGCCTGTGTCTGATGATGTTTGTAGCTCCAAATGTCTCACTAACTGACACATTTTAATAAACTTTTGGATTTGTATAGCATATATCATATTGTAAAATGACTTACCGGTTCTCTAATGTGACACATGCTAAACAGATTAAGTATGCTTTGACATCAGTCACATGTGAAACAGTTCAAACCAGTTAATTAGAATTTACCCTCTCCTCCCTTCAAGAGACCAAACCCCCCACCCCCGGGCGTTGGAGCAGGCACCCAAAGGTGCTACGAGGACAGCGCCATGGCAGGAGCCTCTGTGAAGGTGGCGGTGAGGGTCCGCCCCTTCAACTCCAGAGAGACCGAAAAGGACAGCAAATGCATCATTCAGATGTCTGGAAACACGACCAGTAAGTAATCCAAGCAGGATTTTATTGACGGGCTGGCTGCTCTGGTTTTATTACCGTAACCCATCAGGACCAAACCCAACAAATGAGTCCATCTGTGCTCGTGTTTGGAGGGTTCAACGAGATAAACACTGAATTAAAACCACTGTAGGTCAGCGATAAGGAAATTAAAAAGCTAAAAGGTGAACAGCAGGCAGCTATTCATGAGCTGGTATGAGATTCTAGTGGTGTTAAGAACAAATTAAGCACAAATTCATTAAAGTTAAATTAAAATGCATCACTTGCTTTATTTGCTTTTATTTAAAAAACAAAAATGTAATCACTTCAATTAGGGGTGTCCCGATACCAGTTTTTTCAAGACTGAGTACAAGTACGAGTACTTCAGTTTAGGTACTCACCGATACCGATACCAAGTAGCAGGTTCGTGTGGATTATCTGTTCAACTTGTTGAATATTAAACAGAATGAAAATGAAATGCAWTTATCATGCAAAAATTGATGGGTAAATATTATGTTTGACAATAAAAAGGTAGTGCAAACTCTGGCAAGTAGATAAGTTGGTTTATATATCACACCATAACTTTTGAAACCATTTATTTTATTTCAAACAGGCTCTTTTTTATAAGGCAACACTCCCTCTGAATGTATCAACAATAAAAATACTGCAAAACAAATGCTGTTGCATACATTAAAAAACAAAATAAGTTATTTTTATAC